GGGTGTATCATCCATGGGGGTATGAGTTTGGGGGCTGAGTGGTGGGGTGAAAGTGTGTACGTCTTTGTGGGGGGCTGTGAGTATATAGAGTGTGTGTATGTGTTTGTGTGTATGTTGTGTGTTATAATATTATTTTAAGAGTGTTACATTTATTTATGCTGTGGAACATTTGTTTAATGATGCAAAGATGTGCTGCATTCTTTTATGTTGCATTTGTTAACTCTGTGAAACTGTGTTGCTTTGTCTGTCTAAAATACCTGATTGAGCTAATAAAGAGTGGAATATTCAATAGCTGGGCAGAGAGGAAGGATAGGTAGCACTGGCAGACAGAGACTATGAATAGGAGGAAATCTAAGATCAAGGAGAAGCAGGATAAGGAGGACACCAGGGATCAGCCACCCAGCTATACAGCAAGCCATGGAGTAAGAAGTAAGAAAAGGTATACAGAAAGATAAAATCTCAGAGGCAAAATATTGATGGGCTAATTTAAATAAAGAAAAACTGGGTAGAAATAAGTCAAGCTAAAGACAGGCTTTTATAAGAAAGAACAAGCCTCCATTTGTAATTTATTTGGGAGCTGGGTGGCAGGTCCCCAAAGAGCCAAAGAACAAATATTTTTAAAAAAAAAACAACAACATTTTGACATTGTAACATGATTCCATATTTCTGTATAGGGCCTGTGAAAGCTGAAAAGAAAGAGAGAAAGAGGGAAAGAAAGAAAAAGGACAGGAATCTTTTAAGAGGCACTACTGTTCAGCTGTTATCTGGGCAGCACTAAATAGAAATGGCAAACTAAGAGAAAACTTCTTGTGGCAGTATAGGCACCGACTTCGTATAGAACTAGAAAGGTTAAGTGCAGTTACTGGTCAAATGCACCTCCAGTCAGACTGCGAGCTTTAGGCTTGGCTCTCATGAACTTAGAAGCAGGTAGAGAAAGCCAATAGAGCAGCTCAGAGGTCATAGCTTTGAAGTTTACAGTTTGCTCACATGGTCAAAAAAAGACCAGAGATATGCAGTAAAAGAGGTCCAGATGGCAAAATTTCTAAGCAGTTTCCACTGCGTTTTACAATGTGAGTAGATGAAAGAAAGGAAGAAAGAAAGGCAGGAAGGCAGGAAGGAAGGAAGGAAGGACAGTCATAGATAGAAATAATTTAAAAATTAAGTCTTTAAAGAGCGAAGTAAAATAATAAAAAAAGAAAAAGGCCCGTAACACCAGGAGATACATAGGGAATCTTGTCCCCACATAGTACTATTTGATTTTGAATTTTTTAAATGCTGGTGAGTAAGCAACAGCTGCTAAGAGACCTGGAATAGAAAGAGGGACTGTTGAAATAAACCAGACATATACTTTAGGAATTCCTTAACTTTAAAAATGTAAAAAAAAAAATGTATTTGTCAAATGGAAAGCGAAAATGCTTTGGAGAAGGGGTTTTGCTTTTGTTTCCACAGGAAGAAAGAGGATGTGGATTTATCCCAGGTTCATATGGATGAGCTTTCATCAAGGGAGACCTCCTGCAACTTGGCAGGTGACACATGTCAACAAAGGTTATAGCTGGTCTTCCCAGGAGTTGACCATTATCTCAGATTTTTTCAGGGATTCCTAAAGATGCCTTTGCCTTAGACAACAGGAAACAGTCTAGGAAAAAACAATATCCATATTTCTGAGAGGTCAGTCATGGGATGATTTTGGTTATTTGGTGGGATGGCTGTCTCTCATTATTAGGGGAATATAGAAATATAGGATAAAAAGACAACTATTAATCTCAGATGTTTTACAATGGTATGGATTTTGGTATGCTGATGCAAATTTAAAGTTAATTTTGTTACACTGTTTATACTCTACTTTGGGGTACAGAGCCTATACAGTTCATTTAAAAATGTAGTTTATGTACAAGAAATGAGGTTAGTAGTAAATCTATAATAATCAAAATTGTAGTCACATTAGGTATGTTTTCTAGGTTAAATAAGC